GTTCATGAATGCTTTAAGATTGAGCACTTTTCATATAGCTGGGTGACTAGGGTCTCGAGATACAGACCAAAACGGGGACCCGGGTAACCTTAGGATGTATTTGTTTCAATATGGGTATCAAATGAAAGCATTCATGACTAGATGACACTTTTCAATATAGCTGGGTGACTAGGGTCTCGAGATATAGACCAAAACTTGGACCTGGGTAACCTTGGGTGTATTTTTCTTAATATGGGTATCAAATGAAAGCTGTTCATGAATGCTTTAAGATTGAGCACTTTTCATATAGCTGGGTGACTAGGGTTGAGGATACAGACCAAAACGTGGACCCGGGTAATCTTAGGTGTATTTGTTTAATATGGGTAAAATGAAAGCTGTTATGTCAAAAATATGCGGAACCAAATAAAAAAAAAAATTAAAAAATTTATGAATACCGTTTTTGTGAAAAATAAAATTGTGTAATGCGGACAGTTCTTTAATCTTCTTTAATATAAAAATTAATATAAAAATAAGTAGGGTTTTCCTTCCTGACGCTATAACTCCAGAACGCACGAACCGATTTCCACGGTTTTGCATTCGTTGGAGGTTTATAGCTAAGAAAATTCAGGAAATATTTCAATAGAAAAGTATATGGTGTGTGAGTATCCCTCACGAAAATAAGTATGTTTCATTTAAAGTAGATGGTGCCGGTGCGTGAAACATTGTTTAACAGCTATTCATTGTACTTTGCTCAGTTAATTTCATCTGACACTAGCGAATACCCGGCGTGCTTCGCTGCGCCTTAAAAGTAATTTTGTTTTGTTACTCCCTCTCACAACATTTGAAAATATTAGTTAATATTGCTGTACATATTTGTATAGTAGGTGGATTTTTTCAAATTATATAAATATACGTTATTTGAATATTGAATCAATACACGTTTGAGGAAAGGGTGCGATAGTAGACTCCAGTTATAAGATTATAAATTAAATTTCCAAGAGAAAGTCGGTTCTTTACATATTTTCTAATTACCTTCGAAAATATATTAACTCAAAAAAAAAATAAACAATGCTTCATAGATCGATTTTTTTTAAATCTAACTTCATAAAGTTCTTTAAAAATATTTTGTAAATGAGGCCATAAGAGCTTAGGGGGAGAGTTACAACACAAAAATACATTTAAGGCGCAGCGAAGCACGCCGGGTAATTGCTAGTTTTTCATAAAAGCAAGCTAGTAGCTTAAAATCGTTACGGGTTTCCTCCAAAAAATTGGTTTATTTAAGCTCGTCTTAATTTATTTACTTTTGCATTTTGTTTGTTATTGGTTCCATTTGACAATAGCAAATGTAAAGTGGATACTGTGGTAGTAGCATATGGTAGGTAGCGCATTAGGGTGGTTAAAAAAAAAATCCAGTCGGAATTTTAATGCTCTGACCCCATATGATTATTCTATATCGTAAAGAATGTACCTCATTTTTTTTTTTTTTTTAAATCAAAAAAATATTTAGAGGTCGCTCTCAGCGCGCACAGTTGTCCATGTATTTTATATGGGGAAAAAACATTCCGAAAATAAATATTCCGACTTTAGTTTTTCTACATGCATTTTTGAACCATCATGACAGCATAAGTTTTGAGTGCTATCAGTTATTTTAAAAGAAAAATGCATCCTAAAATAAAACGAAACAACTTTATTATCGTTATGTATACATTTTTTATACTTTATTAAATTGTTTTAATTGTATTTTTATATTTTATCCAATCACTTATTAGTTAAGGTGGTTTAGAGCAGGTAGAGTTCAGATTTGCAATAGAAACATACAAACCAAATTATGTAAGTTCTATAAACATAATTTTCGTATAGTATAAACAAATGATGTTTTATGCAAAAAATGCAAAACTAAGTGTGTATAGTTTGAATACAAATACATATTATTTTTTTTTTTTTACTTTGAAAATTGTGTACATACGTAAGTATGTAAGCATGTTTATACATATTTTATGCATATATGAAAGTATTTTTTTTTATTAAGTATACACACATATACAGTGTAGCATGATTCATAATAATGTGTGCATTTAAATGAAGCCAACCTGTAGGATCTCGGAATACTTTGACCTTCTTTTGCGTCAACCCAGTCACGGGAGAAAGAGGGGCAGCTTCAACGGAACCACTCCGACGTACTCGTTGTAGGGGTCCATTGAAGTCTGCAGCGTGCATCTGCCTTGGATATATATGTATAAGAAGAAGAAGACCTATTAATGTCCACTACAGCTGCCATATTTATAAAGAAGCGCAAGTTCGATGTCGAATTGTTTGTGGAAGAGGGATTCCGTTGCCAAAAACTCTATTCGTCAACTTAATAAACCGCATTCACGAGCGCCTTCCCCACCACGACGGGAAAACATATCTGACGACTTCGACGCCAGGGTTGACAATGAAGTTATCTTTAGTCCAATAGTAGGACTCTATGGTCAGCCCCTATGACCATAAGTCCCATAACGGACTGAGGTTGATTGATTTCGCCGCATTAGATTTCAGCTTAAGAATACCCATCAAGCTACATGAATGTCTTGTGATAGAAAAACATGAAATCAAAACTACCACATTGTAATATGTAGACGGAAGATACGTTTCTAGTACGTACGATTTGAGGACCAAACATTTTTGCCACAAATTCTTTAGAGATTTTTTGATGCGACGGCCTTTTCTCAAGTTATGAATTTAATAAGCTAAAAATTTTCATGAAAATTCATGTCGTTTTCTTCAGTGTTTTTTATGTTTTTTCTGCGTTAGAAAACAAAATTCCCTTTCTAACCTACTTTTTCGATCGCGAGTGGGAATGCAACCCCGTAACTTAAATAAAGTCACTCATAAAATTATATTCCGATATTACGATTTAAGCTTCGAACTGATTTTATACTTATGTATGTTTATTACGAGTATTTTTATATTGGCTTAATTGAGTATATGGGGCGTTCCATACCAAAATGGACGAGGTTCACACTAAATGCGTTTGATTTGTTTCAAATTTTTAGCGTTGATGAACAAACATAAATAATAAAAAATATGAAATTTCAGCTTGATTGATATTTTTTTAAAAACTTTACAGTACATATCTCGAGAACGAGGCGAGCAAAAAACTAAAAAACAAATCGCACATACACACATCGAAATTCTCTATGAAAAAAAACATTTTTAATTTTTTTTTCTTGAAAAAATTTTTCGAATAGAAATTTTTTGATAAAAAAAAAATAGTTTTTGAAAATATGCCATCTCAAAAAAAATTTAAAAAAATTACAATGGTAGCTCTGAGTATTGCGCAATATTTAAGTATAGTATTACGGGGTGCACTCTACAATAATTTGTGTTATGAATTTTTTTTTACACCGAAGTGGAGTAAAATGAGTACATTGCAAATTTATTATTATTTTTTTTTTTTTTTTAAGACTTTTTTTGAGTATGCAGTTTTGTAGCCCATTAAATTTTAGTATAATAAAGTGGAAGTTTTAAGCGATTGCAAAACTGGCGTTAATTTTATTTTTAATTTTCTTTGAAAACGGTTTTTCGCATTTTCTTCCATAAGAAAAAAGTGCAAAAAGCCGT